GCGTTCTTCGGGTCCAGCATGTCCATCTCTAGCTTCGCCATAATTTGTCATCAAATGAAGCTCAAACGGAGTAACGTGTGCTAACGAGGCTGTAACTATCACACGTTGTGGAGGCTCAAGCTCAGCCATGGTCCTTGACTTTCCAAAGACGTCTTGCAAAGACTCGTCTATCCTATCTTTCCTCTCTGAAGGTGATGCAGACACTACATAGGTCATTCTGCTCAATATGGCTCTTGCATTATATGCATCGACTTTCAAATAAGCCAACAGACATGCTGTCATGCCACCAGAGCTTGTACCAGCTATGTAGTCAAAATATGAGCACATTTTTTTGCTCTTGCCAGTAACTGACTGGGAGAGGCTTAACATCCTTTCTTCAATGTTGATGAGAGCTTGAGTGGTTATTAGTACTCTCATCCCACCTCCATCTAAACTAAGAAGGAAAGTGTTCTGGCTCTCCTGAGGCTCGGGGAGGGTAGGGTGCTCTGCAAAATATTTTTCTGTTTTCCCACGAAGCTTGTGAGCCTCAAGCAAAAGCTCAATGATGGCTTTGTTTTCCTTTTCGTAGTTTTTTTGAAATCTACTTGATTGCTTCTCTTTGTGGGTTGGCGAATCGGTTTGGTTGAAGTTAAACATGAGCATGCCCAAGGCTAGTTTAACGTCTGGCATCCCTCCATAGTCTGATTTCAGACGTACAGCTACTTCAAGTGGTGTTTCATTATTATGGTTCTTAATAATAGGACTAGCATCAAATGCAAGCAAAGCCTTGACCATTGTGACGTTGTTATTCTCCACTGCCAAGTGCAGAGCAGTGTTACCTGTATCTGCTGCCCGGAGGTTGGGGTCTGTATTGTAAAGGAGGAGATTGAACGCTGTTTTAATGTAATTCATCTGAACTGCTTTCATCAATGGAGACAAGCCACCATCAAGGTAGTCAAAGTGTATGCTGCCCATCCTGAGCAGGCTCCTGCTTTTCCCTACAGCCTGGAATTTAGCCTGGAATTTTTCTTCTTTAAAATTGTCCCATAGCTTATCTGAAATACTGTAGTCATCGCTCTCAAAAGAAACAGAGACTCTCCTCGCCATCTTCTTTCTCCTTTATCAAAGTGGGGCAAGAAATAAGAGTGTGACACTATTTTATAGCTTATGTAGCATCTGCAAACTAAATTTGCTTCGTATACGTTTAGGCACTGCCCCCATAGATGCTGCGCGCCCCAAACTACCATTTGGGGCAGCATCTCCTACGGTATGCTTTGAAATAAATACAATTATGCTCATTATGTCAACTATGGAAAAGCAGTAGGATTGAGGAAAAAGTAAAGAAACAAGAGGGTACTTGCAAACTGGTGACTGTGGTAAGAAATCCTACACCACTGCATGAACCTGCAAAGGAACATTCCGCACCGTGAAGGCTTACAGTATTACAGCATAGATAAAAGGCCCGTTGGATACTCTCTTTAGGTATTATTTACTCTTAATAATACAAACACATGTGGATATGAAACAGGTACACAAATTTATAGGTGACATCATGACTAGTGTTCCTATGCTCATTTTGGATTGGAATGCTAATTGTTGAGATAAGGGTACAAAACAAAATGTTGTTAGAACCATTCACATTTCAGAGCAAATATGGTAATCAGTGCAAATGATAATGCTAGCAACATAAAAATTTATTTGGGGATAGATAGATTCATGTCTCCTTTGCTTCTTTTGATATAAATAATGGCGTATACTGGCACCACTGCTGTAATGACTGGAATCACTGCTGTAATGACTGGCACCACTGCTGTAATGACTGGCACCACTGCTGTAATGACTGGCACCACTGCTGTAATGACAGATGTCAAAAGGACAGTTCTTGCTCAAAGACAGCCCCCATTGCTAGATGCAAATATCAACCCGCTGCATAGATCTGCATAGTTGCTTATACAAGCAACGTTATCTGCTTGAACTGATGAGTGCAAGATGAGGAAGAATACTGTTGTTAGTAAAGCTAGTCCCATTTTTGTTTGCTGCAAACTAGGCCTAGGCAAATCATGTTTCAATTTTTGCCTATCATGCTTTTAGGCACTGCTCCAAATTCCATCATTATTATGCCAATTATTATGCTCATAGTTTAAAGGGTAACTACACCCCAAAATTCTTTCCCCTGAAATAAGTTGGTAATAAAGAAAGAATCATAGGAAAAATAGCTAAAATTATTAAAAAGTACCAATTCTATACTTAGGCCTGGTTTACACGACTACGTTTTAAAGTAAAACGGAGATATTTTTAGCCAGATAAGGGTCTCGTTTACACTAAAACACAAGAAAACGCATATCAAATCCGAACAAAAGAAAAACGAATACCAAAACGGATAACTCTATAAACGAATGATAAAGTCCAATAAAAACGCAGCTGCTGGATTAGTGTAAACACCTGAAAACAGTCATAGCAAAAACGATGCAGATTAGGCTAGCGTCGTCGTGTAAACCAGGCCTTAAATCTTGGGTCAAAAGTTGCCTTGCAGCCATTATGTCAAATCACTTCCGGTGGTGGGCGTGGTCACGCGATGACGTAGATGGGGGAACATTAGCAAGTTTCTGCATTGAAATATTAGCAAATTCAAGGCTGGATTTCTAAGTTCTGTGTGCAAGAAAGCAGCTAAAAGGTATTTTTGCAATTATTAGAAGCTATAAAGAGTTAAAATATTCAGTCAAAATTTAAATTTGGTCATTTAGCATTTTTCATAAATAGATAGA